TAATTAAGATATACTGATTCAAAGTAGGGTTATTTTCTGTAATAATTAGTGTTGACATCAAAGCACTAAAGCTTGAAAGTAAATAAGTACATAGGGTTAGTTTTTCTGTATTTTTTTTCTGTTGTTAATAGGTATTACAAGGATCTATGCATATGTATACATGTTGAGTAAATAAATATATATATTTATTATCTGCATTGATTTCAGCTGTTCTATTAGCCTTAAATGTATTATTTGAAGAAAACTTTGGTATAGACTCCCTGTCTGCAGATGCCCATTTCTAAAAGACGTTCAAATGCACCTGGTTAGACATTGCCTCTCAAAGGTAGAGAGCTCCTGTGCCTGTCCAAAATGTCTAAACAAAAATAGGTTCACCTTTAGGATTCAGGGCATGTGCAGTAAATTCTATGCCCCTGAGACTTCCAGATGCCAGGCATGTGCTGGAGCTGCTCTGACAGTCATTTTGCCAAAGTCCCAACTTCAGGATGTAGAAAGAGTGTATATCTGTGGGAAGCTGAATACAGGGTAAGCCAGCATGGAGTGAATTGCAGGAGTCTACTAATGCTAAATAGGGTTTTCCTGAAGCTACTTAGTTCTTCAGTTTAGCTAAGCCTCCTTCAGTGAGTGTAAATAAAATGTTAATGAAAAGAAAAATCGAACGGAAATAAGTATCACGAGCACACAAGACCCAAACCTGTTTTTTCAACATTGCAGCTGTTTCTCACAAATTTTCATAGTGCTCCAGTTCTGAACTGAGTTCTCTTCCAGGGTGGTCCGAGGCTCATTTCCAACTGGCTTGTCAGATGTTCCTGTTTCCTTGCTGCTGGCAGCAGGACAGTTGAATTTGCCTGGACTGTTTTCAAAGTCTGGGGAAGGAATTTGTTGTGCGTGTGCAGGTTGGCTCCCAGTTGTACAGCAGCTCCAACACATATAGAACCGTTGGATCTTCTGTGCTACAGACTGAGCTGCTGAAAGAAGGGCCCGATAAGGGATACTTTAATGGTATTAATAGGTTTTGTTCTCCCCTGCATTACTAAGAGCGCTTGTTTCCTCTTCAAATGGGTCCGTCATTCAGGTATAGGCAAGCTGGTATTGCTGATGCTGGTTCCAAGCCTGAGATCGTGAAGAACTTGCAATGAAGCCATCAGTTGGTAACCCTAGGGTGGAGGGTTGCATTGTAATGTCAGATAGTCAAGAAAGATGTGTGAGGTCAGCCTGTGAACATATGTATGGTCTTTGCGGATATAAATAGAAGAGAAAAAAGGAAAAAGGCGTATCCTCTAAGAAGGGATGGAAAAATTAGACTATTTAGAATAATAATATATAAATAGAAGAGAAAAAAGGAAAAAGGCATATCCTCTAAGAAGGGATGGAAAATTTAGACTATTTAGAATAATAATAAAAAGGTAGTAAGTTGCTTTTGATTACTAACTACTGGGCGTGATGCAGAAACATTGTCTTATCTAATCTTTCCAAAGCGTGCTTTCCTTTGTGTTCTGCTGAAGGAATTTCCTTTTCTAGGCATAGGCTCAAAACTCCCTACAGAGAGAAGAGGAAGAAGTGGAAAAATGGAAATGCCAGAAGTAGGGTCAAAAGTGTGATTTGGAGGAAACATCTTCCTAAGACAAAGTCTTAGAGACAATCACACCAGAAATAAATCCATAGAATCCATGTCATGCTTAATTAGTTCCAAGTTTTCCCTGATCTTATTAGAAATAGAGTAGCAGGGAACATAAGAAGTGCAAACCTGAGAAACTTGGATATTAATAAGATATCGACTAGCAGTGGTGGACTGGGTCCCCTGTATAAAATGTCTGGCTGTTTCCCATGACTTCTTAGCAGTACTGGTCCATTTTCTTGGTGGTCCAGCTGTGAGTTTGCGTACTGGATCACATCTCTACAACTACCTGAAAGGAGCGTGCAGTAAGGTGGGTGCTGGCCTCTTCTCTAAAGTAACAAGTGATAGGACAAGAGGAAACGGCCTCGAGTTGCACCTTAATGATTCTATGATTGTATGCTTTAATGTACATAGATTACTATTTTGGATACTTCTATTAAAAGAAAGAAAGGATCCAGAATTTATTTCTCTAACTGAAAATCAGTGTGTATGTTTCAAATGTGGGTGGGCATATGCCAGACTGTTAGAGCCCAGCACTGCTCAACATTTACTCATATGAACACCTACATGGTGAATTTATGTAGGTACAGCACTTCTGTACTGTAATTTAATTTCTGTCTTGAGCATATGCCTATATGGACATATTGTGGACATGGAAGTGGCAAATGAAGATTGGACCAGGTTTTTGGTGACTAGGTATATGCACGTTTGCAGTGGGAATGTGTATATGGTCAGTACATCTCAACTGTTCAATATTTTCCTGGTTTTAAGAAGTTTTCTTCTATATAGACACATAAGCAAAACTTTAGTTTGGTAGGAGTCCTTGCTCCTGACAAGCTCATACAAAACTGTGTAATCTATATGGGAAAAGGCATGAACAGGAGAGCTGGCAAAGCCATGATGGGTTTCATAAAGCACAGGTGAAGTGCTACGTTCACTGTAGAACAACAAGAACGTTATACTCCTGAATTCCTTTCCGGTGGCTTCTTATTGATTATAAGTGACAGTCGAGATTGTTTCTGAGAATTTTAAAACCTTAAAAAATGGCCAGTAATTTGCAATGATGGATTCTTAATGCCTAATGCCGGGTATCTACATTTAAATGTACTCATTTCAATGAAAATACACCATTTCTCAGAAATAGGAATTAGAATCAGTAGAATGTAATTACTGTAATTAGGTGGGTTTGCCTCACTTCAGATCAATCTTTAAATATATTTTAAAAGCAGGATTTGTGAACCAGGCAATATGCAGACTAGAACTCCTGCGACGTTCTGGCTATCTCTAAACGTGCATTTGTGCAGTAAAGGCTAGGTCTTCATAAGCTCACTGATGATTTCGCTCAGTTCCTCTGAAGCAATGTCTTTGGAGAGAGAGGTAAGACAGCACTAGAAATGCCATGGCATTGCATTTTTGCAAAATGTTATTAGCTTTCAGAAGAATATTTCTTTTTGCTTTAGCAGGATAGCCACACTTTTATTTGTCATGTAGTCAAGATGTTAGCTGTCATGAGAAAGCAGTTTTGGTGAGACTTGCCCATTTTAAAATGTTATCTTCCTTTCAAGAATCGAGAAACGCAGTTAATGCTACTTAGAAAATATGAATGATTTAAAGCTTCAGAATAATTTCATGAGGTCCCTTACCACTATTTTTTTTTAATCAGAGTTTATTTAATACTCTACAATGTTGCCGTAAAATGTAGGGGACTAAGTGTCTTTAGAAAATAAAACCTTTGTGTTCTGTACATTTCCTTTTTAAAAACAAAAACGAGGCTTGATTTTTTTCCCATATAACTTCCCATACACAAGTCTACATATTGTGAGAAAACAAGTGAAAACAGATCATATTTCTCATTGTAATATCCCTCTGAGAAGAATATCTTTTACTTTTCTAAAGCATGTATTAGCTTTTGTAGCTTAGTTTTATGGGGCTGTATTTTCACATCATCTCTGTAAAGTTTTCTAGACAAGTTTTAAGGCTGTGATGAGACCTATTAGTTATATTCCACCAATTTACGGATGTAGTTCCAGGGGATTAGGTTGAGCAATGTCAAAGCAGTATCTGAAGTAATGGACATAGAAAAATGCTGTTTGTGATCTGTACTCAAAAGAGCAGGACTTGGTTTAGTGTTCTTTTGGTCATGAAATTCAACAGAAAAGTCAACATTTTTTCCTGCGTACAATAGTACCAAAATATTATGTAGCATGTAGGAGCAAAATATTTTTCATGTAACATGTAGTAACAATGATGGGGGGAAAAAAGAGAGAGAGAGAAATGTAATAATGCAAAATGTGTGGACATAATTTACAATAGAAAATACCTACATAGAAGAGAATGTTTTATTAAAATACATGAGTCATTCTCCAGTTCTGTGGACAGCAGCATGAATTCAGACCTTTTCTTTAAAGCTACTTTTTAAGCCTTTCTTCCTACCATGTGTCTGTCATAGGTTAAATTCTGATTCTATAGAAATCTGTACGTATATTTCATCAAACCCCTACACATTTATTCCCAGTTATGAGGTAACCTTACTAACTAGAATTCTTCCTGGTATTTAACCAATAGAGATTTTTCTGTGAAATTCAAGCAAAGTTAATATGCTTTTTATTCTAAAAATATTTTCTGTTTGTGTTTTTCTTATTGATCTATCATTTAACAGATCATTTAACCTTCCTTAAAACATCACCTGCTGTACAGCTGAATATAGGGTACCGTTGTTTTAAGCATTTTATTGAGTGATGAGGATAAATACTATCGTGTTAGAAAAGCAAAGAAATACGTTCCTTAAGACAAACAGTTTCTTTAGATTATGTTGAAAACTCATTCCATATTCAGATGCTTTCCTTTATGAAATTCTGTTAGGAATGCAATACAGTTTGCCTTATTTAATTTACCATAAGTAATTTTATAGGAACAGTTAAAAACTCCATAGCAATGATACTTGACACTGAGCATCATTTTATGCGCACGTAGACACACACAGATGTGCCTCCCTCCTCATTGTATTTCCTATTCCATGAGTTGTTGGAGCCTTAACTTGTTCTTGGAAGAACTTTGCAAGTCCTGCTAGCAGAGGTTATGAATCAGATAGGATAACCAGCAGTCTTTACAGTTTTACTGTATCCTTGTCTGTCCTTTCACCTTTCCTTTACTGCACTATCTTGTCTGTCTGATTCTCACAGGAGACATGGATTACAACTGGTTGGACCATACGTCTTGGCATAGCAGTGAGGCATCCCCAATGTCTTTGGTGAGACATGTGGAGCCTTACCATTTGGTTTCCTTTATCATTTCACATTTTCTTTGTTTTATTTACACCTTTGCATGTTTTCTTTTTTTGTATCTTTTTTTTGTTTTGTTTTGTTTTATCCCACACCTATAGGGGACAGTCAAAGGGGAAAAAGAAAAACTAGTGAGCAGGCAGTTATGTCGGATTCTAACACCTTATCCGAGAGGCAAAGGAAAATGGTGTGCTTTGGTGGCCACTCTTTGGAAGAGGACTTGGAATGGTCTGAGCCTCAGATAAAAGACTCTGGGGTAGATACGTGTAGTAGCACAACTCTAAACGAGGAACATAGCCATAGCGAGAAGGTACTGAGCCTATGCAGCCTGCATTTTAACCTGCTCATTTGGTCTTTGTTTGCTCTCTGTCACTCATTTAAATAGTGCATAAAATAAAAGCTAGGGTGTTTCTAGAGACAATGTAGTATTTCTGAAGGTGCAGAAAAGAAAAACAAATGAAAAGTCTCTGTATGCTTGCAGCTTTTACTGTTTGGCAGCCTAAGACAAAAATTTAGAGGCATAAAGGAATGTTGTTCTTATGGTTTCATAACAGCATATCATGATTTTACCTTCAAATATAATTAACAATAAGGATTCTACTGATTGGCTTATTTGATTTACTGTGCTCAAACTCCTGGGGCTGAAATTTAATTAATAGTTTAAACCCCAGGTGATAAAGGGAGAAAATATGGTCTCTCTGCACAGAAAAGTTGTTTTTCTTTTTTCCCTTTCACTGTCATAGTTGTTCTTTTGTTTTGTTGCCATGCCATTTTTGTGCAGTATTGTGCAGAATTAAAGGCTTTGCCATCTGCTTCGGTATTTTTTAATTTTGCTTTGTGTTTGGTGGGGGTTATGAGAAATCTTTTTAGAATTATTAGTTGTAATGGGAGCAGAGTTGTCCGTGCCTGCTAATTTTGCATGAAATGGAGCATGAAATAGTATTTATCTGTGAAAAAGTGCTATGATTACACAAAACAAAGTGTTAAAATGTTGTTAATTATGCCAAAGTACAACTGTGCCCATGTAGAGTAATGGAATAATAACATTCACTGTAAGTGTATTTCATATGTGAAGTAATTATTCCAAGAAAGAAATAATACATTTAAATAGAATAATGACTATACCTTTTAATGTATTCCGTAATTTTTAATACACTACTACTGAGAGAAAGTAAAACACAGAAAAAGTGTGTCAGTCTCAGAGAAAACAGACATGTTTGGAATAGCAGAAAAAGAAAACCTGTCTCACAGCGAATTTCTGTTTGAGTTAAGCTTCTTTTTCAGCACTACTTTTCTAATAGACCTCTGCAGTTGTTTTTGGCAGTACTGAGATGTGGTTGTCATTGTGTGTAGGTAACTATGTATAGTTCTCTACATGTCTAGTCATCAAGATGCAAAGATTGTTCTAGATATTTCCAAACTGGTAGAATAAGTGAGGTTATTAAGTATTAGAAGTAGATTGTCATGGACTATATGTCCAAATAAATATTTTCCAGCACAGTTTTCTGGCATTCTGTTACATTAAGTATTCGTGTAATCATAATACTTTCATGGCATGTTAAAAATATATCAGGAAATAAAAGATGTGACTGAAATATTTTTCTTTAAAATCCTATTCACTGTATTTTCCATTAACACCACATGGTAGCATCCAGTTACTTGGCAACCATCCAAAGACGGAGACCGTCTCATTGGTCGGATTTTGTTAAATAAACGACTAAAAGATGGAAGTGTGCCTCGAGACTCGGGAGCAATGCTTGGATTGAAGGTTGGTAATGAATAATTTTGGAACAACTCTCTCAGGTAAACTAGCTAACTTTATAATGGAAGTATTCTCATTTTATATAGCCTATGTATACCAATATCTATAATATCTTATTGTTCTCAAAATTACAACAGAGACATTTTCTATTCAGCTACCAAGAATAATTTTGCAGGGTTCCTGATAGGCTTTAAAAATGTATTTTTCAGAAAGACGATACATGTTTTCAAAAGTTTGCTGAGCATGTCTGCTCTGCAAGGTACTAATTGCATCATTGCTGGCAAGCCAAGCCCTGTCCGCTCTCTTCAGTATTGAGCGTTGCTCCATGGGATAACTTCTGCTCCCTGAAAGAGGGCAGAAATGGGAAAAATAAATTGTCTCTTTTGAAGATCTGGGGGACTTCTGGAAGTTAATGACATTTAAATCCAGAGCAGAGTCTGCCAGTCTTTCTGGATGTTTTTTCCTCTCTGATTGTTTGATTTGTTACATTTTAAATACACAAGACAGAAAATTATTCAGTATGTATTGTACATCATCACAAAGTAATGTGTTTGCCTCTCTTTCCTGATGCGGTACTCTTTGAACACGTTATGAAGCTATTGCTAGCTCATATCTTGATCTCGTTTTTGTGTCGTATTATTATTTGCAGTTCCAGTAATACTAGTACAAGAATGAAAATGAATTATACATAGTAAAAGAAGCAAGCATGTATTAATTTTGAATCAACATCCTTGTTCTGACAAATCCCTAAGATGTTTGCTTAATTCTCCATTCTCTATTTAGCATGGCACTGACTTCACTTTGAGTACACAGACTAGACTACAGTCATACACTGTAAATAGGGATTAAAAATATATATATATACTAACATGCTTTGGAAATTTTTGATTTTTTTTATTTAGTTGACAAATGACTGTACTTTGAAGTTGGTTGAGAAGGCAGTTGAGCATCACTTTAGGTGTTATTGTCTTAATGTCGTACAGTAGAAGAGACTAACAGTGCCATGCTGAAGTGTTTTTTGTTTAAACTTCTATGCTTAAAATTCTGAAATCTTCTGTTGTAAAGATGAACTCTTCACTGAGATTCATGAGTAGTTTAGATTCAAGAGTAACTACTTTTCAAATCTCAATATGTATCTGAACAGACTGATTTTCAGCAGTTATTCCTGACCTGAATTTTCAAATATTTGCATCACTGAAAGTGACCTAAACTGGATTTTGTATCACAGATTTTAAATCCCAACATGGACACTGCTAAGAAACTGCAAGAATTTGAAGATTATACAGTTAGAACTGACTCTGATATTTCAGTCTCCTGATTCTAAGATAAATAGTAAGGTCAAACCTGTTGAAGTTTCCTGTAGAGAAATCTTAGGAATGACAAATATTTTCATCTGCCTTGCCCAGCCAAAGTGGATTTGGTTAACTGATAAAGATGTTTGATGCTTAGTGTGAACATCGTGAGTTCTGTTACATCAATATATCTGTTTTCAGTTAAAAAGTATTGAAGTAAGCAGTCTAATGACCGATTCCTTACTTTTTGGGGGGTTGTAATTTGTAATACGGTGAAATACCATACATATATTTGCTAAAGTTTAAAAGCTTTAGCATTCTGCATTTGCATTGTGTTTAAATTTCACAAAGAGCCAGAATAGGTACAAACTTAACCTGTCATAGCCAAAATTCTCTGGTGATTTTTCAAGTGTACCTGTCTTATCTGGGCTACCTGAAAACCAAGGAAATACTTGAATTCTTGTTTCTGTTGCTAGAACATTGAAGTCATTTAAAGTAATTTTCATTCTATGAAAATACTTCCTCTTCAAAACAGGTAGTAGGAGGAAAGATGACTGAATCAGGTCGACTCTGCGCATTTATCACCAAAGTTAAAAAAGGAAGCTTAGCTGATACAGTGGGGCATCTTAGACCAGGTATGTATCTACTGTCTATACTGCTGAGTTGCTTTTCTAAAGGTGATAACAAGTGAGCGAGCTTAATGACATGTGAAATTGTTAAATAAGTGTGATGAACTACTGCTTCATTCAACCTGACATTCAGTTACTGGATAATTGACATCACTGCTTTTGTGAAATATATACTTTCTCACCTTAAAGATCATATTTTAACATTTTTATTCACATTTTTATACTCAAAATCATAGTCCAATGATGTTCTGCTCAGTTTTGTGGTATATATTTTATTTAAAGCAAACCAAGCTATTACAAATATGCCAATGAACCAGCTCCTAAGTGGAGTGTTATTGCTGATATTATAGGTGATGAAGTATTGGAATGGAATGGAAGGCTACTACAAGGAGCCACCTTTGAGGAGGTGTATAACATCATTTTAGAATCCAAACCTGAGCCACAAGTGGAGCTTGTAGTTTCCAGACCAATAGGGTAAGTAATTTCCTAAAAATTTTTATTAATATGATAAAAATGTTGCTAAACTTCACTTCTAGGGCAGAGCATATCAAACAGATTCTTAAACATTGTAAACAGTAAAGCTGCATGCAAAATTCTGTAAACCAAAAGCATAACTAGAATAATAGATCATGCCAGTAAGCAGAAAGAGCTGGTGTGAAATCCTGTATTCTCTGAGAGAGTCCCAGGCGTTATCTGCTATTACCACTAAAAATTTGTTCCCTTCTGTGGTTGTTTAGTTGGTGATCCAGCCTATGTTGGGACTGAAACAATAGTTTTATTGTTTATTGTTGCAATTCTTGATTAATAACTTGAATCTTGATTTTTTTCCTCCGTTACCGTTTTTATATAATATATAAAATTATATATTCATATTTGGTCTATGAGTTGACAGCGTGCTAATGACATAATATACTTTGGAATGTCTCCAATCCACATTCTCATCACCTTCATCTATGAAATACATTAAATTATTGCTTGTTGTCTAATACAGAAGGTATCTGAATAAATAGCTAGCACTAGTGCTTGTCTAAACAGTGTAGCACTTTTTCTTTGGTGCTTTACATTGCTCAGTTTTCTTAACTTTCAGACCTACCTCTCAACATCTAAACTTAATTTTTCTTGCATAGCAATAGAGCATTTCTGACTGCTTTGTCATATTAGACTGTGAACACTTCCCCTTCTTCAACTGTTCTTTTTCTTCCAAGTTCCTACAGCCTACAGTCACATCCATCCTTTTTTTCCTTCTCTATTTGAAGTTCCATAGATGATCACACCAGGGCTGGGAAAGAGGGGATACTTATCACTGAATTTGAAGATGCTTACAGTTGTTTAGAATTTCTTATTTCCCCTGCAGAATTGATTATGATATATATAACACAATGGGACAAGGTGCTAGGTAATCTCATCTAAGCTCCCATTTCCATGTGAGGTTGGACCAGATGGCCTTTCAAGATCCCTTCCAACCTGGGTTGTTCTATGATTCTATATTTAAAATTAATAAATATATTTATCGCTTTATTTTGTATAAGATGCACACAATTATCTTACTTTCGTACAAGAAAGCATGAGTAACACAGCAACTAAAAATTAGTAAGTACTAAAAAAATCTAGAACCATCTGAACTGAAGATGGGATTTCAGTGAAGATAATTCGTTATGCGTTCAGCTATAGCAGGAACTTAATGTGTTTGACACATCAGGAACTTAATATCTAGGAACTTAATTTGGTTTGACAATTTTAAATGAACTTGATAATAACAAAAACTGCTTTATCTTCTCATTGAAATGAGAGGTTATCTCCTACATACATACTGAATTGCAACCCCTTTAGGGTAAAGGCTGTATCATCTGATTTATCCTTAAAAACATTTGCACAACTTGGGAGTTGTAAGTATAATAGTAATGCTAAGGGACAGACTACATTGCTGGAATAATATCGTCTTAGAAAAGGAAATTTCGAATGGATTTCATACATGTGTAATATCTTTTGTAGTTTCTCCCAAACAGAAGTTTATAGCAAAAGTTTCAAGCAATGGCTCATGTCTTGAAAATATTTGCGTTTTTTTTTCTCTTTCTGCATTATCTTCATTGTGCAAAACCTCCTCAGTTCTCTTACTGTGTGTTGTTTACCTTCCTTATCATCATGTCTTCTGTTATGTTACCATGCACTCCACTTGTGGTCACTAGAGCAGCTTATCTATAATTCTTTAAAGAAAGTGACGCAGGCTCTCAAGACTCCTTCTTCAGCATTAACGGCTTGCTCACATAGTCTGAAGAACTCAGGCAGATCAGGGCTAAAAACATTGTTCTTTGTGCTTGATTCCCAGTGTCTTTCTGCAGTAGATGTTAAAGAGGGTTTTCACCTCCAAAACTCCAGTTACTAATCTAATTGAATTTATAACTGCAGTCTCAGTGATGGATACTTTCTCCAAGTTGGAAGGTTTTAGATGCTGGTTATACCATAGAATCACAGAATCACAGAGGTTGGAAAAGACCTCAGGGATCATAGAGTCCAACCGTCAACCCAACACCACCCAACCCACTAACCCATGTCCCTCAGCACCACATCCACACGTTTCTTGACCCCCTCCAGGGATGGTGACTCCACCACTGTCCTGGGCAGCCTGTTCCAATGCCTGAGCACTCTTGCAGTGAAGAAATTTTTTCTAATATCCAGCCTAAACCTCCCCTGGTGCAGCTCGAGGCTGTTTCCTCTTGTCCCATCACCTGTTTACATATGTAACTCTTTGAATTTTGATATTAACAATATAATTTCAGAAATGTTTTTCGTGAGATTTGAACTGATGAACTGGAATTCTATACTATCTTCTCAGTTTAGGAAATTTCAAATGAACTGTAGAAATTAGATATTTTTCTTGCCCAAGGAAACATAGCACCATAGGCCTGTGTTCTGCAGGGATGTTTTTTTCTCTCACTCTTCTCTCTCACATCTGCTGCACATTTTTTTTATCATTTCTTAAACATGTTGTCACAGGATCACTGCCACCTTGGCTGAGGGGCTCAGCTGTGCCCTGTAGTGGATGAATATGTTCCCTTGGGGGGTGGGTGGGCATAGTCTGGTACTTAGTTGTTGCAACTGAGTGCTTTAAAATTCCACAGCTGTACACACAATTAATACAGGTGTTGCAGCATCTCATGTGCTGCAAGTACGCAATTTTACCAAATGAAATTGTTCATCTTATTTAGTCATGGAAAAGATAAGATTGTCCAAATTCAGGGTTCAAGGGCAGTAAAGGACATATTGGCATAGCCGCGATTGGCCTAGTTTGAGTGAGAGTCCAATAAATTAAATTAAAGTATAATGACATCATAAAGTCTACCACTTACATTTTTATTCTACTCTCTGATTCTTTTCTTTTATTTACTGAATTATTTTATTTCTGACTGAGCAGTCTCTCTCTGCATTCACCAAACAATTTCTTCTGTAGGCTTTAGTTCACCACTGAAATTATTTATAAAAATAAACAGATGAATCTCCCCCATGGCTGAAGACAGCCAGCAGATCATCTGCATTTCCTGAGGCATTCCATGATGGGTTGTGAAGTGTTATATTGAAGTTTGGAATATGCTTGTTAGATAAAGGATCAGCCTGTTTTCATTTTCCTGATTTCAGGGACATTCCCAGAATACCTGACAGCACCCATGCACAGCTGGAGTCCAGTAAGTTTCAATTGTGGGGTAGGAAAATCTTCTCTCTCTTTTATGTAAGCACAAATAGATCAAAAAATGTCATCTACAGTCAGTATAGCTCTCATCTCTTTGTCTGTATTTGTCTTGATATGTCATCTTACTATATTATCTATCTACCTTTGTTTAATAATAAAGTATTGAAAGTCAGAATATTTTGATTGAGACTTGACATTGGGTTATAAGGTTGGGCTGTTTTTGATTGAAAAGAAAAGCATAATCCTAATATACAACAACATTAATAGTAATTTATAACATACTGTTTTTTTGTCTTGCATTTCAGATGAACCTTAAAAACTAAAAATGGGGATGAAATGCTCTTTGTTTACAGCCTGAGAGATACGTATTTTGAGAACGGAATATGTCTACTTTGTTAGAACTGTTCAGCAGTCTTTAAATCAGCTAAACCAGTATTTCATGTGGGGAAAAATAACTTGCTCTTTGGCTTAGATCTGATAAGATGGATTTCAGCCTGGAGTTATTTTTTATCACTACTTTAGAATTCTTTTACAATAGAAGCCATGAATAAATGCAGTGGCAGAAAATTGATTATAATAATATGAAAAAATCCTCCAATAACTTTTCACTGATCAGCCAAGTCTTAAAATAAAATCCATTTTATGTTTTGTGAGATGTGGGATGTCTTTTGTATCTATAAAAATACTTTATTTTTACTTTCTGCTTTATCTGTCCCAACTTGTCCTCTGACAGCTGGCAGAACTTGTATATTTGGAACAAAATACGCAAAAACCATTATGTGCATCTTAATGTTTTTGTAAAAATCTAGCTAGAAATTAGTCTGTTTGTTCAAGGGCCCTTCAGAAGAGAGAATTTACTTTACTCTTTAGGTATTTTGGGCCTTCAACTTACTGACATGATTACAGTCAGAGATATCTGAATAAACTGTCTTTCATTCTATATGCTTCAGATGACATTTTACAACTGTAATAAACTTGGAAAACTTTTGATTGCATCTGATCACCAAAAGATTATCATTATTTGGCAATTTTAAATAGATAAAAAAAGTGATTTTTATCACAACTTTATTGTATGTTTGGTCATATTTATGCAATTTTTCTTTTAAGAACATTGTGAAAAATGCGTAAGTCCTACTATTTAGAAAATATTTGTATTTGTAATTACAGGTTCTAGTTCATTTGAATCTCAAAAAATGGACCGACCTTCTATTTCAGTGACTTCTCCTATGAGTCCTGGCATGTTAAGGGATGTTCCACAGTTCTTGTCTGGACAACTTTCAGTATGTAAACATTTCATTAATATTAGTATTGTGCGTTTTGCAGCATATACAACTCTCCCTGCAGAGTGTAAGCTCCGTCTAAAATACACTTCTTGTTAAACTAGCTGAATTGTTTGGTTAATGCTATAATATCTCAGTGTAGGCAGGGACATATTTTCATAAGGACATTCCATTTTATTTGCTTTTAGAAATGTTATATTTGTTGAATTAGGTATATAGAAATGTATATTTATCTAGTAAGCTAGACTGGTAGAGTAAAATTCTAAGGAAGGTGTGATCTTGGCCCCCAGTTGCGTTTGTGCTGTTGAGTGTATACAACTGTAACACGTGAACAGTTGGTAGATTTTATTACCTGTGTTCTTGGACACTAATCTTGATTATTTCTTTTGCACTTGCTTTCATATAGACCTTTCCTCAGATATACTTTTGATTGTTTACTCATGTTGCATTCAATGTTATTCACTTTTGTTCTTCATTCTCATTGTGAACAAAGTTCATTACCTGAATGTTTTCTTTCAAAGGGTAAACTGAGGACCTTGGGTTTTTAATTCCTTTCTGTGTCATTTACAACTCCAAAGTGTGATTTTTCAAAAGTGCTTAGTTGTGGCCTGGTACATGTTGAAAAGGAGAGGAAAATGGGATGGCAGCAGTGCAAAACTGGTGTTAAACAAGCCTGAAAATGTCACATTCATATTTCTTCCAAGTTGCTTATGTTAAGATAGTGAGTGCGCCATAAAAATATGCATAAAGTCTAAGCAGACTGTTTATAGGTCTCACGGAAGTGGTTTATGGTGTTGACAGAAGAGAGGAAGAAGTAGTTTTCTGTCTGTTCAGCAGCCATGCTGGCTCCATTTTGCAATGCATGAGACACTATTTGTTTTGCTCATCAGACCAGCCATCGACAATACATAATTTTTAATTTTCTGTAGCAGTTGTACTTAACTACTTTGAAAGATTCAGTCCTTTGGATAACCGGAAAACTAGAAATCTTGACTGTAGAGTGCAGAATACTTTGCACAAAATACAATGACAAGGGAATATGAACATGAACTGTCGAAATACACATTCCAAGGTTTCTAAAAACCAATTTAGTTTTATAAGACAGCAAAAACTGTTGATAGTAGAAACAAGAAGAAATACCTTTTGGCTAAATCTCATAAAAAATTAGGCTGTCAAAAAGTTTAGGTTCCTAGCTCCCAGCATGAAACTGAAGACCCAGAGTTAGCTGCTCACCTATGCAGTGCACAGACACTGCGGAGTGATGATCCAAATGGGAATCATACGGAACTGACTTCCTCACTTTCTCAGTTTCAGAAACAAAATCTTCCGGAGTTTAAGATTAAGATTCATCAGTAAAGTCAGTAAGTCTGTTGATCTTGTGGTTTGGTAGGATATGGAAGTTTGAGGTGAATAAGAATAGTATCAAGAGTTTTGGAGATATGTTCTTATTTACAGAGAATAACAGAATTCGCAAGGTTTTCTGTCTCAGAATGGCATATAAATTCAGTGTTTAACTGAAGTGTTCCTATTTTTTTTGTTTGTAGTCCCTAATATAGTGTATGCAATTTTATACAATACTCCCTACTACACAATATCCTTGTTTGCCTCAGCGAGCAGCTGATATCTGAACATGCACAGCTCCAGTTGACTGATACTGAAGCCAGAAATGCTCAGTAACTCTCTAAATTCAAGTCCCACCGTCTCAATGTAGACACCTAACATCAGTAGACAGTTTGAAAATTTGGACACCAGCTAAAGAAAAGTTGGAAAGAGCTGTGTTTCATGTTATCATGTGAATGGCACAACCCAACTCCTGCAGCTGTTGGCTCATGGCAGGGGTAAACCTTTTGCTTTGGGAGAAGATGGTGTGGATGGATAGCAACGTGGCAACTAACTGGGCACATTGAAATGTGAAGGTTAAAATATATTTTTAGAAAGAGATTGCTTTAAGACAATGGAAGTATTCTGCAGGAATAGTTTTTTCGAAAGTGTAAATATCTGTAGGTTTTTCTTTTTATCTGATATTTTGAATTAGTTTTGAAAAATCACAGTTTTTTTGACTTTTCAGATTTGGGGGTTTCTGTGTCTTGAAGGCAGTGCAAGAAATAGTTATTTCCTTTTTAAAATTTTGGTTTCTCATTTTATAACTTTAAAAAGTTTTGAAACTTTGAAAGAGTTAGTGAAAACATTAACTTTTTGTAGAGTGGGAGACGTTTGCAAAATTAGAATGGTCTATGAAACTTTCTAATTTTGGACTTTAGCAAAAGTGAAGGAATAGGGAAAATTTGAATTTTAAAAATCTCAAGCTTCAAAAAATACTTTATCTTTAACACTATAAAATGGGCAAGCTTCAGTATTTTGGTTTTCCGTGTTTTCAATCAGCTGTTTTCTGACAGAAGAGTTGATGGAACAGTTGTTCATTCCAAATAGCTCACTAAGATGGAAATGGAAGGACGTACTAAATTCTGAATGAAATTGGGAATGTGCTCTTTATGGTGAGTGCCTAGGCAGCAGAGTAACTGCAGAGCCCTGGAAGCAGATGGGGACAGGATGCTGTTCTTTGTGGAAGTGGAGGATCAGCAAACATTCTGGGTAATAGTGGCTGAATTCAGAACGGTATGATGAATCTGGGGGAATGGATGATAAGCAAGGTTTTGGAAGTGTTTTCTGGATTTTCTGCATTTTCGGACAATACCATGTAGTCCTGACGGGCCGTTGTTAGGGCAGTTGAAGTTAATAGGCTGTGAGATACAAAATTTTGGGCAGAAGTGGAGATACCTACAGTTCAGGTGGAAGTCTGAAGTATTTTAATAAATACTTGGATATATGCATCCTTATTCAGACAGTGCTACAGATCCTTTAAGGATTTTTATATTACTGGTGGTTTGAAATGCATTTCTTTGTGTCTAGTGTGGTTTTTAGACAGTTTAGCTGGAGTGATGCCTCTCTACCATTCAGAGCTGTCTTTCTCTGTTCGTGTTTTCCTCTGTCGGCATAGGTCTGTGTAGCTGTTTTGTTCTGTTGGGTTACAGTGACAATCCAGAGCTCACTCATAGGATTTCCCATGAAGCAAACCATCTCACATAGCTAGGAAGTCTTCTTTCCACTAATAATTATTTGCCCAAATGCATATTTAATTGAAGAAATGATGTGCAGCTACAGTAAATGATTGTGTGTTATAATTTATTAAGGTATATAAATAATTTATCTGTATTCTGTGCAGTTTATTTTATGGCATTTTTGATCCACATTTCAGGGGAGTATCCGACTGGTATTGCAATTATTGTTTCGTTATTATTTGCTTTGTCTTTTTCCTGCTTTTTCACTGATTTGTTTTTCCTTTAATATAATTTTGTAAAAGTCGATATTCTTTGTGTGTTGGTGCTTTTCACTTCATTACCGCATTCTGGCTACTTTTTCAATACTGCATGAAAAGTATAACTGGGAATGCTTTTGCAGTAGTTAGGTTTAGAGACTGATGACATGACTAGAAGACCGTGTAAATGGATACAGGTGTAAAATGACAATATTTCATTTTTGTACTGGTGGAAATTCTAACAGAAAAGGGATGTCATTTATAAAATTAATCAATTTCCTTGTACAGCTGAACCACAGAACCAATTCAATAGATTTTTCTGTACATATTCATTTTATGTGGCATAGTAATTATAATTGTAATATCTGTAGCGTATTAGAAGGCAGATATTTTGCATTGTGAAGGACATAATATGTCAGAATACTGGGGGGATGAGCTCCCCTTCCCTTATTCCTCCTTTCACCTTTTCCTTTTCCCTTTTATTTTCTCCCTCTACACAAGTAAATTGCTGTTGCTCTACCGTCAAAACCTGGAAGGCTGTAGGTAGTGCACAAAATGTGCTTATTGTCTTCCTATTTTCCAAGGCAGAATATGACAGGTGAGGGTCCGTGGTCCATGGGGGGAGATATATTCTATCCCTTTTAGGACTGCAATATTCTGGAATATCCTTCTTCTCTTGTAACATGAAGCAGAACCAAGGTGAAGATCTACTTTTATTGTACGTGAGTAGGTCCCTCTCTGGAACCCATCCGTGGGGCTATGCCGTACTTCCAGGGCAGAGGGGGGACAGTCTGCAGCTGCTGCACATTGCGGAGCACATTGGACAAAACCCATGATCCAGACTGTCAAATATTCTTATCTATCCTCTTGCTTTGGTGGGAGAACAGATTGGTTCACGATTTTATGGGACAGATGCATGCCATCAAACAAGGAGGGTGACAGAAGCATTGTCACACTTCCTATCTCCATACTTTGGGTACATTTCCTATGGAAGTGAATATTGAGTAGTAGATTGTTTCCATCCCTTTGAAATAGATCAACAACCGCAGGAAAACCGAGCAGGGGGGTGAAGGAGATTCAAATCTCTCAGGTTGCTGTGGTTGTTGTGCCTACTCCCACGCTCCTGGTCCTCCACTCACTGGCCCTCTGAGGTATGAACCTGTGCTCCTGTTCCCATCCATTCCCCATACTTGGTACCCTTCCTGGGCCACCCCATGAGCTGTTGCCCTAAACTGAAGATGGAGAGTGGTTGGTTGGAGTTTGTAGCTACTCCGGGAATTTAGGAGTGTTGCCCGTACTGATGGATGTAGCCACTGGAAGCTGCAAGGCTGTACGTGGTCTGAAGTTTTACATCACAAAAATAAGAGTTATAAACGCATCTGTGTCTGCAATGCAACTACTAATTTGCTAAATCCTCTAGGTGCCATTTCATGCAAGGGTTTTCTCTAGATACTATATGTCATGCCTGTCGTGATTGCTAGAGAAGTGAAAGACACCCATTGTACCTTCTCCCATGTAACGCTGACACCAGATAGCACTAACTTTTTAAATAATTTTTTAATTTCTTTTTCTAGAAATGCCTCTTAAAGTTGCAGAAAAGATAAAACCTTTTACTTTTTTTTTTTTTATTATTATTTTTAATTGCTTTACTCCAGGAAGCAACCAAAGCTGTCTGTGCGTGAAC